AGCTAATCAGCTATGGCTTTGATGAAACGTATTCACACACACACAATTGCCAGGCCCATCCTGGAAGCCAATCATTTCAGGACATGTTTTTTCAAGATGTCAGTTTGTTTTAATAGTGGGTTGTTATATCCAAACTACCAGAATCTTGGTTTTCTTTTCTTTTTTTTTTCCTCAAGTTTGCAAAAAGCAGTAACTCAAGCTACAGGAAAAAACACAAAAGTACTTTTCACCAATTAAAAGAAACCTTTTCCATTAATATGAATTTTAAACTAAAATAACCTCAAAAATTTAAAGATTTCATTAGAATAAAAACACTTTTAAAAGCAGAATCTATTAGAATCTCATGTTGTCATTCTCTGTTCCTGCAGTTAAAGACCGTGTCATTATTTCCATTATACTCACCTCCTAATTTTCAGGGCTTATTAGCCTGGCTGTAAAAACTTGCTCCAGTTGAAATTTGGCAAGCTGACAAGGCTGCGTGCCAGAAGTAATTTACTATCCAGTGCGGTTTGCAAAGTAAAAGAAGCTATAAATAATAGAAAAAGAAATGAAAAGTTACTGGTTCCAAATATTTTAATGTGCGTAATGTGTCACCTCCAACTTTTCAGCTTTTGTGGTTGGCAATGCGAGATAACATGAAAGGAGAGCACAGATGCCTCGCGCTTGCAGCAGAGTGAGGGCTCTGGCGCTCTCAGGCTTCAAAGCCCAGCCAGTGTCTGTCCCCACTGCTCGGACTTTGAAGTCCATGGGGGCTCTCTGTGTGGGAGAAGCACGCAGAGGATGTGGAACCAGGTGGGGGATGGGATTCCAGGTGCCTTGCCTCCCATTCTCACTGAAACAAGCTATTTCCCTTTATGAAATAATAGCACCGAAAAAGAAAGGATGAGCATTTCTCTCTGCTGTTCTTGACCACCGAGCTGCCTGTGACCTTAAATATACACAAGTGTCAGCGTGACTATTCCAGGGAAAAGTTCACGTTTACTTTGAAGTTTACATTTAAGTGCTCTGAGGGCAACAATAGAAGTTTTAACTTGGTTTGCAAACATCTGTTTAGTGTTCATCTGTCAGACTCTTTAAGAGGGATTGTTCCAGTACCCTGAAACCCCTTTCTGCTGTGTTCGAAGTTGGCTCATAAATACTCTTGGCCGGCGCCGCGGCTCAATAGGCTAATCCTCCATCTAGCGGCACCGGCACACCGGGTTCTAGTCCCGGTCAGGGTGCCGGATTCTGTCCCGGTTGCCCCTCTTCCAGGCCAGCTCTCTGCTGTGGCCCGGGAAGGCAGTGGAGGATGGCCCAAGTGCTTGGGCCCTGCACCCCATGGGAGACCAGGAGAAGCACCTGGCTCCTGCTTTCAGATCAGCGCGGTGCGCCGGCCGCAGCGCACCAGCCATGGCGGCCATTGGAGGGTGAACCAACGGCAAAAAGGAAGACCTTTCTCTCTGTCTCTCTCTCTCTCACTATCCACTCTGCCTGTCAAAACAAAAACAAAAACAAAACACTCTAATGGGGGCCAGGTAATTCTCCAAGCCATGAGTGTTCAGGATGTATCTTTCTGGGATCAATCTCACTAGACAACCTGAAAAAAATCATTACAATTTATTTTTAAACTAGTATATTAAATATATTACATATATTTTAAAGCTAAGTGTTATTTAAATCCCAATATATTATGGACTGGGATGCAAAACTCATGTGAACTCTTTTGGAGTAGGAAGAGACTCTGATCATATGTGTTTCAGTATTTCTGACCTGGGGCCAGTGCTGTGGCCCAGGGGGTTAAGCTGCTGTGTGGGATGCCCACATCCCATTTGGGAGTGGAATTTCAAGTCCCAGCTCCTCTGCTTCTGATCCAGCTCCTTGCTAACACATCTGGGAAGCAGCAGATGATGGCTCAAATACTTCGGTTTTTGCCACCTGCTTGGAAGACCTGGATGGAGTTCCTGGAACCTGGCTTCAGCCTGCCTCAGCCCCTGCTATTGCAGCCATTTGGGGAGAGAACCAGCAGATGGAAGATCTCTCTGTCTCTCCTTGTCTTTGTTGCTCTGTCATTGAAATAAATAAATAAATTAAAACAAATTCTGATGCTGTCACACACTTAAAGATAATAATTGAGGCTCTTGGGAGAGAATGATATTCTCAAAGAGAGAGTCTGGTAATTAGTTTTTTTTCTTTTTAATTAAAGTATGAACTGTCATAAAGTGTACCAGTCTTAAGGGCCTACCTCGGGAGATGGATTTTTACACATGAATACACACACGTGATGATCACTCGGGTCATGCATAGAACATTTCAGCACCCAGAAGCCTCCCTTGAGTCCCCAGTTCTATGGGGAATTTTAAAGATAAAGTACAAGACTTAAAAACAAAAAACAAAAAACAAGCAAGTCAGGCTTTCCCATAGGTGACCTGGAGTTCCAGACTCAAGAGCACTATTCCCTTAGGGTTCCTTAACCAGGATGGTGGGCACGCAACACATTGGGAGTCCTAGGGGGCATTATGCAGATATAGTTTGTTTTGCTGTCTTGGGCTTTTTTTTTTTCTTTCCCATCTGTTCAGGGGCTCCTTCTTAGATTGATGTTTTGAAATATTTATGGGATGTGAATGGGTGAGTTAGTAGATAAAAGACAGAACATTACACATGGTAGCTGGGCACAGAGTGAACCCTAGGTCAGCGATAGCTTTGTTATAAGGTGCAGAAGTGAAGAGAAGGCCTTGACACTTCCGTTCTAGTTACTTTTAGAGCAAGATAAATATAAAAGCCAATTTTCAAAATCAGGAGAAGAGTATTTATGGATTTATTAAAAAAATTATTTTGGGGCCAGCGCTGTGGTGTAGCGGGTAAAGCCACTGCCTGCAGTGCTGGCATCCTATAAGGGTGCTGGTTCGAGTCCCGGCTGCTCCACTTACGATCCAGCTCTCTGCTGTGGTCTGGGAAAGTGGTAGATGGCCCAAGTCTTTGGGCCCCGGCACCCACGTGGGAGACCTGGAAGAAGCTCCTGGCTCCTGGCTTCAGATCAGCGCAGCTCCATCTGGGGAGTGAACCGGTGGATGGAAGACCTCTCTCTCTCTTTCTGCCTCTGTCTTTCAAATAAATAAATAAATCTTAAAAAATTATTTGACAGAGTGGCAATCTTTCATCCTCTGGTTTACTCCTCAAGTGGTTGGAATGGTTGGGGCTGGGCCAGGCTGAAGCCAGGAGCCAGGAACTCCATCCTGGTCTCCCATGTGGGTAGCAGGGGTCCTAAAGTACTTGGATCGTTTTCTGATGCCTTCCCAGGTGCAATAGCAGGGAGCTGGATAGTAAGCAGAGCACCCTGAACGCGAACAAGTGCTCTGATATGGGATGTTGGCATCACAAGCTGCGGCTTCACCTACTGCACCACGACGCTAGCTCCTATAGTTAGATTTTTTTTTTTTTTTGACAGACAGAGTGGACAGTGAGAGAGAGAGACAGAGAGAAAGGTCTTCCTTTTTGCCGTTGGTTCACCCTCCAATGGCCGCCGCGGCTGGCGTGCTGCGGCCAGCGCACTGCGCTGATCCGATGGCAGGAGCCAGGTACTTCTCCTGGTCTCCCATGGGGTGCAGGGCCCAAGCACTTGGGCCATCCTCCACTGCACTCCCTGGCCACAGCAGAGAGCTGGCCTGGAAGAGGGGCAACCGGGACAGAATCCGGCGCCCCGACCGGGACTAGAACCCGGTGTGTCGGCGCCGCGAGGCGGAGGATTAGCCTAGTGAGCTGCTGCGCCGGCCTATATTTAGATTTAAAAATCATAGTTAACTTGTTAAGTTCTCTATCAAATTTGCCTTGGAATGAAAGATTATAATCTGTCAGAGCTTGCTGACTTCCTTAAACCTGAAGACATTTAGCAAGTGGCTTTAATTCTCATGCATTTATTTTTTGAGTGCTTATTATATGCTAGGCATTATTGTAAGCTCTCAGTGAACAAAACAGCAAAACATTCACACCCAAATAGAGCTTACTGTTTAGTCACATCCCCATTCTTACTGTTAACACAGGGCTCAGAGGTGTTTTTTATTTAAAGTTATTTTATTTATTTGAAAGAGCTACCGAGAGAGAGAGAGAGAGAGAGAGAGAGAGATAGAGATATCTTCCATCAGCTGGTACACTCCCCCAAGTGGCCACAATGGCTGGGCCTGGGCCAGGTCAGAGCCAGGAGCCTCATCTCGGTCTCCCAGGTGGGAGCAGGGGCCCAAGCACTTGGGCCATCCTCTGCTGCTTTTTCAGGCCATTAGCAGAGAGTTGCATCAAAAGTGGAGCAGCTGGAACTCCAACTGGCGCCCACATGGGATCCTGGCACTACAGGTGGTGGCTTAACCTGTTATGCCACACCACCAGTCCCCAGCTCAGAGGTTTCACCATTTCAAAAACTTTCCATCTTTGTTATATGTCCACGATTTTCTTCCACTTCCTTCACGTCTTAACAGCTGATCCATTCAAGAAGTCAGGAAACCAAGCAAACCTTTGTCTCAGTTCTGAGACCAGTGCCGGTACAATGTGAAAGGAAAACGAGAGGACGGTGCGGGGGCGGGTCATGGTTAACTGTTCATTCTATTCCCCCTTCCTAAATCCTGCAGAGGATCAAGGTGCTAATGGGAATGTCGAAATAAACAGGTCGAGCAAGAACTCCTGCTTTGGCTTTACATAATCTTCCAGAAGTTAAAAAGAGCTGAGCCAGGTAGTTAGGATAGATTTAGTAACTGCACCAGCAACATTGCTTCCAAGTTAGGTGGCCTGAAGATCGTCTCAGAACGGCTGAGACACTTGGGCGATGGTTTAAGGGGTCTCAAACTTTTCTGTACCAAAATTCCCCCGTGTTTGTGTTTGACCTGGCCCACATAGGTAGGAGAATTATTTAAACAACAACGGCTCTCTCCATTTTAAAATCAATCACCCAATGAGAGATTCCAGTTGGCACGTGAACATCCAGTGTTGTCACAACGGTTTGCTAAATCCAGAGGAAGGGTGAGTCTGTGTAGCCAGTTCAGTCTTAGCGCCCCTACGATTTTTCACGACTTCGGGAAATGTTTAAAGGCTGTAGTGACAGCATGTCTTCCCTATTTGCGTTTGCTTTTGGTGTTGGGAAGTGAGGATGTGGTACGGGGGCATGACAAAAATAAAATCCCGCAGAAAATGCATTTAACGTCCCTGTCAGGGAACCGCTCTGCGCCCGGCGGCGCGCGCCTCCAGCCCCGCCCGCAGGCCAGCCGGGTTCCTCCTGCAGTCCCACAGTCAGCCACAAGGAGGTGACAGCGGCCACAGGAGCCGAGGCGGCCTCCCCGGCGGCGGAGGGGCGGAAGCGGAAGAGGCGGGACGCGGGCAGCACGCTACGTCCGTACGTGCTGGCGTCAAGGCCGGCTCTCGCGACGTGAAGCCGGAGCCCAGCTGCAGGCGCGTTGGAGGTGTAGAGCGTCCCTGCGGCGTGGTGAAGTGCTGGCTCCATGGCGGAGATAATTCAGGAACGCATAGAAGATCGTATTCCCGAGTTGGAGCAGCTGGAACGCGTTGGGCTGTTCAGTCACGCGGAGATAAAGTGAGAGCGGGCTCGGGAGGAGGAAGAGCGGTGGCAGGCCGGGAGGCGGTTGGGACGCGTGTGTGGCGGGGGCTGGGCTGGGGACACGAGTCGTTTGTTTTGCTGAAGCGCAGAAGCCAGGTGCCCACCGTTAGCGTCGCATCTGCTGCAAGGTGGTGTCCGTCCTGGCATCCACCAGGCGTACTGACAGCCCTGGGTGGAGCCCGGCGTTGGGCTGTGAGGGTGCCCGTCCAGAGCTGACGGGGCACCTGTGGTGCGTGGTCGGCGAGACAAGTTCAGCATTCCGATTGCAGGGTGAGGTGATGCCTGGAGAGGCGCTGCGGATGGGCACCGCTTAATTCATTTCACGTGCTGCCCCGGCGCCTAGCCGCCGCTCCTGGTGCGTGGTTGGCAGTCGGCAGTTCGTGCCAGTTAGTTGCATTCAGTAGTTTTTAGTGTGTCTTCTGGGACTGTGGTCTGTGATGACTGTGAACGTGCGGTGTGGCTGTGGGAGCCTCAAAGTAAACATTGGTTAAGGAGCAACATAGATGTTATCATCGCTGAAGATAATGGACTTGGATTCTTTCCATTAAGTTTCTTTTTTTTAAAGATTTATTTACTTGAGAGAACAACAGAGAGAGGGAGAGTAGACAGATCTTCCATATGCTGGGTCACTCTCCAAATGTGTGCAACAGCCCGTGCTGGCCCAGGCTGAAGCCGGGAGCCCCAGACTCCCTCCAGCTCTCCCATGTGCACGGCAGGGGCCTAAGCACTTGACCCATCAAGTGCCGTCTGCCATGGTGCACATTAGCAGGAAGCTGGAAGTGGGGGTTCCGGGGCTGCTTATGGGACCCTGGCATCCCAAGCAGCAGGTTAACCTGTGCCACTACACCCTCACCTTGCATTAAATTCCAGTATACACATTGTGTGTTAACTCTTAGCTTAGAGAGGTTACTCTTTTTTTTTTTTTTTGGACAGGCAGAGTGGACAGAGAGAGAGAGAGAGACAGAGAGAAAGGTCTTCCTTTGCCATTGGTTCACCCTCCAATGGCCGCCGCGGCCGGCGCACCTTGCTGATCCGAAGCCAGGAGCCAGGTGCTTCTCCTGGTCTCCCATGGGGTACAGGGCCCAAGCACTTGGGCCATCCTCCACTGCACTCCCTGGCCACAGCAGAGAGCTGGCCTGGAAGAGGGGCAGCGGGGACAGAATCCGGCGCCCCGACCGGGACTAGAACCCGGTGTGCCGGCGCTGCAAGGCGGAGGATTAGCCTCGTGAGCCGCGGCGCCGGCTAGAGAGAGGTTACTCTTCTCTAAAGCCTTTGTAGTAATAAGCTTTCTTAGGTAAGGACAGATGTAGATTTTTATTTTTAAGAATTCATGAATTAAGATCTCAGATTTTTCCAAAGAGACTTGATAATTAAAATTCAAGTAACATGAATTTGGAAGGAAATGAATCCTTATGAATGTGATATAGAAATATGTTAACTATTTGACATTTACTTGCTGGTAGGAATCTCAGTGGTCCTGGCAGTTAAGATGGTTATCCTGAAAGTTTGAAAATACATCCTGATGCCCTTAAGTAGGGGCTAAGGTGGTGCCACAGGGGTTAAGCTGCTGCTTGTGAGCCAGCATTCCATATCAGAGTGCTAGTTAGAATCCCAGCTCCCCGCTAATGCACCTGGGAAGGCAACAGAAGGTGGACCAGGTGCTTGGACACCAGCCGCTCATGTGGAACACTGGGATGGAGTTACTGGCTCCTGGCTTCGGTCTGGTCCAGTGTCTGTGGCCATTTGGGGGAGTGAACCAGAAGTTGGAAGGTCTCTCTGTGTCTGTCTAACTCTGCTTTTCAAATAAATAAATAAATCTTTTAAAAAACCTCACAGAAGGGGCTAGTGCTGTGTTGTAGTGGGCTGATCCTCCACCTGTAGTGCCAGCATCCCATATGGGCACTGGTTTGTGTTTTGGATGCTCCTCTTCCAATCCGGCTCTCTGCTTATGGCGTAGGAAAACAATAGAAGATAGCTCAAGTGCTTGGGCCCCTGCACCTACATGGGAGACCCTGAGGAAGTTCCTGGCTTCGGATTGGTCCAGCTCTATTTTCGGCTGTCTGGGGAGCGAACCAGCAGATGGAAGACCTTTCTCTCTGTCTCTCCCTCTCTGTGACTCTGCCTCTCAAATAAATCTTTTTTTTTTTTTTTTTAAAGATTTATTTATTTATTTGAAAGGCAGTTACAGAGAGGCAGAGGCAGATAGTGAGAGTGTTCCTCCATCTTTCGGTTCACTCCCCACATGGCTGCAATGGCTGTAGCTGCACTAATCCAAAGGCAGGAACCAGGAGCCTCTTCTGGGTCTCCCACATGGGTGCAACCACTTGGGCTATCCTCCACCACTTTCCCAGGTCGTGGCAGAGAGCTGAATCGGAAGTAGAGCAGCCAGCACTTGAACCGGCGCCCATATGGGATGCTGGCACCACAGGCAGTGGCTTTACCCACTATGCCATGGTGCTGGCCCCATAAATAAAATCTTAAAAATTTTATTAAAAATGTTTTAATTTTTTAATTAAAAATCTTAAAAGAACTCACAGAAGTTATCATGTGCAAGCATATCTGCTTGTGAAAGAATTGTGTTTTATAAAGATGATTCAAAATGAATGAAGAATGGTATGGGGGAGGGAGTGGGAGGTGGGCTGTTTGGGGTGGGAGGGTGGGTATGAGGGGAAGAACCGCTATAATCCAAAAGTTGTACTTATGAAATGTATATTTATGAAATAAAAGCTTTCTGTAAAAAAACATAATTGTATTTTTAAAAAAGATTTTATTAATCTATTTGAAAGGCAGAGTTGGAGAGAAGGTGGGAGAGAGAGATCTGTCCTCCTGTTCATTTTCCACATGGCCACAAAGGCCAGGGTCTAGGCCAAGCCGAAGCCAGGAGCTTCATCTAGGTCTCCCACATGGGTGGCAGAGGCCCAAGCACTTGGCCTGCTTTCCCAGGTGCGTTAGCAGGGAGAGGGATCAGGAGTGAAGCAGCCAGAGCTTGCACTGATGGCCATAGCAGATGCTGTTGTTGTAGGTGGTGGCTTCACCCGCTATGCCGTAGCACGGCCCTGATAATCGTATTTGGGAGAGAGCTTTTTAAGCTCTCCAAGTGTTAAGAGTTTAAATGACTTTCTCCTCAGGGCTATCATTAAGAAGGCTTCTGATCTGGAATATAAAATACAGCGAAGAACCCTTTTCAAGGAGGACTTTATCAATTATGTTCAAGTAAGTGAATAATTTCATTGCTTTTTACTTTAAAAATTTTATGCTTTTAAATTTGAAATCAGTTGTAGAATGGTGAGCTTAGTATCAGCTTTCTACAGAATTTCAGAATTATTGATGAGACAGTTTTGAACCAGACTAAAGGGTCATTGGGAATTGTCTTGCCCATTAAGGCTTTAGACCTTGACAAACTACATTTTTGTCTCTGTCTTGTTCTCCCCACTCCCTTTATATTCTTATGGGGTTAGTAGGTCAGAGACTGCTAGAGATACAGTATGTATCAGAATGTTATCAAGAATTTTGCCACTTAAGGAGCAAGATAAAGGTGTTTTAATTTGATGATAGCAGATGGTTTGGAAAGTTAATATTTGTGTGTCTGTAAATCTGTCAACTTGCATTTTGAGGATTTACTTAATTTATAAGTCAGAATTACAGAGAGAAAGGAAGAGATGGTAGAGGGGAGGGGAGAAAGATCTTCCAACCAGTGGTTCACTCTCCAAGAGGCTGCAATTGCCGGAGCTGGCCCAGGCTGAAGCCAGGAGCAAGGAACTTCTTCCAGGTCTCTCATGTGGGTGCAGGGGCCCAAGCACTTGGGCCATCTTCTACTGCTTTCCCAGGCCACTAGCAGGGAGCTGGATCAGAAGTGGAATAGCCGGGACTCGAAACAGTGTGCATATGGGATGCCAGGGTTGTAGACAGCAGTTTAACCTGCTGTGCCACAGTGCTGGCCCTGATTCTTGTATTTTGTAAATGGATGGAAAGTTTGAAGATAAATGTGTAAGTTGGATCAGTTTTCAGGTGGGAGAGAATAGGTAATGTGTTGGGTGACAGACCAGGATTCAAAAAGAGCCAATAACAAGATGAGATATTTGTAAGACAAAGTTTTGAGCTTAGATTAAGAAAAGTAATGAACTCTCCATGAGACTGACGAAGAATATTGTTTTTGGGAGAGGTCTTAAGCCTCATTATAGATTTCTAATCAAAGTAAGCCAACAACAGATCATGTTAAAAATACACTTTAACTATATCAACCAAAGTAGAGTGATAAATTGCAGAGGACATTGGAAATAGTAGGCACTTATAAAATGTTGACTTGAGAAAACATGTTTTGCACTTGTCAGTCCACATTTAGGGCATTGTGTTAGGTTTAAGACTTCATTACGGGGCTGCCACTGTGGTGTAGCAGGAAAGCCGCCATCTGCAGTACCAGCATCCCATATAGGGGCAGACTCAAGTCCTGGCTGCTCCATTTCCAATCCAGTTCTCCGTTATGGCCTGGGAAAGCAGTAGAAGATGGCCCAAGTCCTTGGGCCCCTGCACCCACGTGGGAGACCCGGAGGAGGCTCCTGGCTCCTGGCTTCAGATCGGCGGAGCTCTGGCTGTTGCGGCCATCTGGGGAGTGAACCAGCGGAGACACCTCTCTCTGCCTCTGCCTCTCTGTAACTGTCTATTCAAGTAAATAAATAAACATTTAAAAAAAACCTGCTTTACTTCATTGTTATTTTTTTAGAAAAAAATTTTTAAAGCTTTATTTATTTGAAAGCCACAGTTAGAGAGAGATTGATTCTACCCACTGTTTCACTCCTCAGTTAGTTACAATGGCCAAGGCTAGGCCAGGCTGAAGCCAAAGAGCCAGGAGCTTCATCCGGTTCTCCCATGTGGGCCATCTTCCGTTGCTTTCCCTGGCTCATTAGCAGGGAACTGGGTCAGAAGTGGAGCAGCTGGGACTCAAACTGGTGCCCATATAGGTGCTGATGTTTCAGGAGACAGCTTAAACTGCTATGCCACAACACCAGCCCCTACTTATTTAAAAAAGTTTAAAGTTTATTTTCATCTACTTGAAAGGCAGAGTGAGTGAGTGAGAGAGAGAGAGATCTGCCATCTGCTGGTTCACTCCACACATGCCTGCAACAGCCAGGACTGGGCCAAGCCAAAGCCAGGAATCCAGAACTCCATGTGTGGCAGGGGCCCAAGCACTGAAGTCATCATCCACTGCATTCCCAGATGCACTAGCAGGTAGCTGGGTCTGAAGTGAAGTAGCTCTAATACAGGATGTGGGCAGCAGAAGCGGTGGCTTAACCTGTAGTACCACACCTGTCCCAAAGCCACATTTTAAGAAGGATGAAGGCCACTGCAATGTAAACCTTTATGTGAGAGGAAGCCCTGAGGGGACTCTAGGCATTTTAACTGGAGGAGACTTAAGAAGTGGTAAATGATTTCACTCTTTAAATATTTGATGAGCTATATGTGGATTATGTTGATTTATTTTAGTATGACTGAAAGAACGAAGTAGATGAAAAAAAGCACACCCACACTTACATATACATTCTGCCTGCCTGCACACAGCTATATAAACTTGCTCTGAGGGACAAGTGGCATTTTATTTATTTGAAAGGCAGAGTGACAGAGAATGAGAGACAAAGATTTTCCATCTGCTGATTCATTCCCCAAATGCCTGCCACTGCTGGGGCTGGGCTGGGCTGGGCGGGAGCCTGGGACTAGGAACTCCATCCAGTACTCTTATGTAGGTAGTACTGACCCAACTATTTGAACCATTACCTGTATCTGCTCAGGAGTGTGCATTAGCAAGAAGCTGGAATCAGGAGAGGATGCATCCATCCTATCTGGTGTCTTACCATCAGGCCAAACATCTACCCAGTATTAGTGAACATTTTAAAGACTGACATCAGTTCATAATGGGTTCCACCACTTTGGAGAACAATTTGGTAAAATCCCATAAAGTTGAAAATACATGTATCCTATGACCCGGCAATTTCATTAACTCATTCACCTTTAGATACTATCTGTCTGCCATACACATGACACTGATGCAGCCTAATAGGGAATGGGAAAAAAAAATTTTTTTTAATTTATTTGACAGAGTTATAGACAGTGAGAGAGACAGAGAGAAAGGTCTTCCTTCCTTTGGTTCATCCCCCAAATGGCCACCATGGATGGTGCTGTGCCGAGCCGAAGCTAGGAGCCAGGTGCCTCCCCCTGGTCTCCCATGCCCAAGCACCTGGGCCATCCTCCACTGCCTTCCCAGGCCACAGCAGAGAGCTGGACTGGAAGAGGAGCAACCAGGACTAGACACCGGCGCCCATATGGGATGCTGGCACTGCAGGCGGAGGATTAACCAAGTGAGCCTTGGTGCCAGCCCCAGAAAAAAAAATTTTTTTAAAGATTTGTTTTATTTATTTGAAGGGCACAGTTAGAGAGAGATAGAGAGGGAGAGGAAAGCTAGGCAAATTGTGTATTCTTTCTTTTTAAACAAATCTCTAACCCGCAACACTGATTCCAGTATGACTGGGTAGAAACTATGGATCAATTTTTTTTTTAGAATTTAGTTTTACTCATGAAAGTCAGAATGACATAGATATCTTTTATCCATTGATTCAGTCCCCAAGTGCCTGCAACAGCTGGAGCTGGGCGAGGCTGAGGCCAGGAGCCAGGGTTTCAACTGAGTCTCCGATGTGCATGGCCGGGACCCCAGTTGCCTCCCACAGTGTACATTAGCAAGAAGCTGCATAGCAAGTGCAGTTGAGACTTCATCCCAGGTATTCTCATATGGGATGTGTAGGTCCCAAGGGATGCCTTAACCCACTGTGCCACAATGCCTGCTTCAGTAAACTACACATTTATAAATGAATTACGAAGCAGTTGAAATGAATGAGAGTGAATGAAGTGTGTCAACAAAGATATATCTAAAGTTATTTTATTTTTTAAAGATTTTATTTGTTTATTTGAAAGGCAGAATTACAGATAGAAGAGAGATCTTCCATCCACTGGTTTACTCTGCAAGCGGCCATAATAGTTAGGGCCAGGCCAGGCCTGAGTCAGGAGCCAGGAGTTTCTTTTGGGTCTCCCACGTGGGTGCAGGGGCCCAAGCACTTGGGCCATCATCTGCTCCTTTCCCAGGCACATTAGCAGGGAGCTGATCTGAGGTGGAGCAGCTGGGACTCATACCAGCTCCTATGTGGCTAAGCCACAGTGCTGGCCCCTTTACTTGATAATTTTAACTAAATCTGGGACCAGCGTTACAGCAAATTCGGCTAAGCCTCCACCTGCAGCATCAGCATCCCATATAGGTGCCAGTTCAAGTCCTGACTGCTCCATTTCCGATGCAGCTCTCTGTTAATGCTCTTGGGCAAGCACCAAAAGACTGCCCAAGCGCTTGGTCCCCTGCCACCCATGTGGAAGACCTCGGTGAAGCTCCTGACTTCGGCTTCGGCCAGTCCTGGCCATTGTGGCCATTTGAAGGGTGAACCAGCAGATGGACCTCTCGCTCTGTCTCTCTGTCTGTCACTCTCTAATTCTAACTGTCTCTAACTTTGAAATAAAATAAAATCTTTTAAGAAAAAATTGGGGGCAAGTGTTGTGATGCCGCCTGCAATATGGGCACCATATGGGCACTAGTTCAAGTCCTGGCTGCTCCACTTCATTTCAGCTCCCTGCTAATGTGCCTGGGAAAGCAGCAGAGGATGGCCCAAGTACTTGGGCCCCTGGACCCTTGTGGGAAACCTGGATGGAGTTCCAGGATCCTTGTTTAGTCCTGGCCTAGCTCCAGCCATTGTGGCCATTTGGCAATGGACCAGCAGAAGGGAAATAACTCTGTCTCTCTCTTTCTCTTTGTGATTGCCTTTAAAATAAATAAATCTTCAAAAAATTTTTTAAACTAAATTTGTTTTCTGTATGAAATTCTATAAATTTTCTCCTTTTTATGTTTCTCTTCAATAGTATGAAATAAATCTATTGGAGCTCATCCAGAGAAGAAGAACAGTAAGTAGATGATTTTCTAGATGTTGGGAAAAAGTACACAGTAAGCATTGTGGCATGTAACTTGAACTTTTGCTTGGGAGGCAATTATTGTGGATAAACTGTGTGGTACAATGTTCATAATGGGTAGTTATAGTTACTTGCTTTCTTTATCTGTACTGTTAAATGATCAGGTAAGAATGCTGCTTTGGATAACCTAAGACTTTTTGATGTCCCCTATTAGCGCATTAAATACTCATTTAAGAGGGATGAAATAGAGAATTCTATTGTACACCGGGTACAAGGAGTCTTCCGACGCGCTTCAGCGAAGTGGAAAGTAAGTGATCAGAGCATCCTTTACTCTATGAGATGTGAGGATCTGTATTATACATGTTAAATGTAGCTTTTTGTTTCTTTTGACAGGCAGAGTTAGACAGTGAGAGAGAGAGACAGAGAGAAAGGTCTTCCCTTCCTTTGGTTCACCCTCCAAATGGCCCCTATGGCCAGTGCACCGCGCTGATCCGAAGCCAGGAGCCAGGTGCTTCTCCTGGTCTCCCATGGGGTGCAGGGCCCAAGCACTTGGGCCATCCTCCACTGCACTCCTGGGCCACAGCAGAGAGCTGGCCTGGAAGAGGGGCAACCGGCACAGAATCTGGCGCCCCAACCGGGACTAGAACCTGGTGTGCCGGCGCCGCAGGCAGAGGATTATTAACTCCCCACTTGGACGCAATGGCTGGCGCTGTGCTGATCCGAAGCCAGGAGCCAGGAGCTTCTTCTGGGTCTCCCACGTGGATGCAGGGGCCCAAGGGCTTAGGCCATCTTTCACTGCTTTTCCAGGCCACAGCAGAGAGCTGGGTTGGAAGTGGAGCAACTGGGACTTGAACTGCTGCCCATATGGGAGCGCTTTATCCAATACGCCCTAAGATGCATTGTTCTCTGTTATCTTGGGTGCCTGCGTAGTTAAATGATAGTATCATTGCTCAAAACATTTTTTGAGGGGCTGGTGCTGTGGCTTAGCAGGTAAAGCCGCTGCCTGCAGTGCTGGCATCCCATATGGGCGCTGGTTCAAGTCCTGGCTGCTCCACTTCCGATCCAGCTCTCTGTTATGTCTTGGGAAAGCAGTAGATGGCCCAAATGCTTGGACCCTGCACCTGCATGGGAGACCTGGAAGAAGCTCCTGGCTCTTGGCTCCTGGCATTGAATTGGCATAGCTCTGGCCACTGCGGCCAACTGGGGAGTGAACCAGTGGATAGAAGACCTCTATCTCTCTGCCTCTCCTTCTCTCTCTGTGTAACTCTGACTTTCAAATGAATAAATAAATCTTTTTAAAAAAGTTTAAAAAAAAGAAACATTTTTTGAGCCATTTAACAAACCGTTAAGAGAGTTAGTTTCATTCCCTCATAGTTACTCTATAAAAGTAGTGCTGAAAATAACATATTTAATTATTAGGGATCCAAAATTATTTTGGAACTGTTTTGATCTATCTCTAAGTCACAAACACAGAAGACTTGGAGATGGAAAATGAAAAGTTAGATAGGGCAGTATCTCAGTAATTTGATTTTCTTCAGGTTTGGCTTTGGAACTGGACATGTTAAATAGGAAATACTGTGTATTCCTGGGAATGACAATTTTTGGGTTGCTTCACCTGCTGGAGACCATTTAAGAACCGTATCAAGCATATTGGATAGATGACACATTTATCTTGGAACATGAGTGGAAGTTGGGCAGACTTTGAGTTGTCATGGTTGTGAGGTCCAAGGCCTTGATAAGGAAAAGCCTAAGAGGCCTAGGGGTGTGATAGCACATTGGGTCTTTGAAATCTGCCTGTCCATAACAGAATTAATCAATCAGAGGTGCCTTGTATGCACGCATCAAATTCAAGCAGCTAACCACATTACTTTCTTGCAGGATGATGTCCAGCTTTGGCTGTCCTATGTCGTTTTCTGTAAAAAATGGGTGAGTAAAGCGTGTCTTCCCCATCCCCCTCTTCCTGCTGGTCTGCCGTTTGAGCTTGGGCTTCATTACTCAACTCCTTGTTCACTCCAGAGCTGTAGGATTGATGAATGGAACAAGAACTCAAGAGTAGGTGTTTGGCAGCACAGTTAAGATGCCGCTTGGGGCACCTGTATTCCATATCGTATAGTGCCTAGGTTCAAATCTTGTCTCTGCTTTTGATTCTGGCTTCCTGCTGATGCACACCCTGGGAGGCAGTAGGTGATGGCTTAACTACTTGGGTACCTGCCAATCATGAGGCAGACCTGAATTGAATCCCCAGCTCTCGGCTTAGGCCTGGCCCAGCCCTGATTGTGGCAGGTATTTGGGGATTGGACCTTCAGTTGGAAGGTGTCCAACTTCTTTAAAGAAAAAAAAAAAAAAGAGTGGAGAAGAAACCAAGAAGGGAGGCCAGCATTGTGGCATAGTGGGTAAAGCCACTGCTTACAACACTAGAATCCCATGTGGGTACTGGTTAGAGTCCTGGCTGTTCCATTGCCTTTTTTTTTTTTTTTTAATTAATTATTGATTTATTTGAAAGGCAGAGTTAGAGAGAGAGAGAGAGAGCGATTCCATCTGCTGATTCACTCCCCAAATGGCTGCAACAGCCAGGGCTGGGCCAGGCTGAAGCCAGGAGCTTCTTCTTGGTCTCCCATGTGGGTACAGGGCCCAGGCACCTGGGCCACCCTCTGCTGTTTTCCCAGGCACATTAGCAGGGAGCTGCATTGGAAGTGGAGTAGCCAGGATTCAACTGTTGCCCACGTGGGATGCTGGTCCTGCAGATGACAGCTTTACCTGTTATACCACAGCACTGGCACCTGCTGTACTTCCTATCCAGCTCTCTACTAATAGCCTGGAAAAGCAGCAGCAGATGACCTAAATGCTTGGTCCCCTGCTACCTCTGTGGGAGACCCCAAAGAGGCTCCTGGCTCCATCCTGATCATTGAGGTCATTTTGGGAGTGAACAACAGCATATGGAAGACCTCTCTTTTTCTCTCTCCTCTCTAACTCTGACTTACAAATGCATAAATACATCTTAGGAAAAAAACACCCAAGAAGGCTGAACTTCAGTATAACATTTGTATGTCTGAATGACTACAAACATAGTTTGTAAATAATTGGAAAAAACTCAGTTTTATACATATTCAGTGACATTAATTTCTTTATTTTAGAGTCTTAGAATCTAAATGTTTGTTTTGTGGTTTAGGTAGAAGAAAATATTTGTGTGTCTACATCTGTTCCTATGTCCCTAGCAATAGCATCTCTTGTCCTGTTGGGTTTTAAAGGTGCGAGGGTGTAGCACATACTACTTAGAGAGAAACATCAGTGACTGCTCTGTGCAGGAAGTAGACATTTTCCTTCCTCTTTTACAGGCTGCCAAAGAGCAACTGAGCAAGGTGTTCTCTGCCATGTTGGCCATTCATTCAAACAAGCCAGGTATGGTGAAATCTTTGATAGCTCTTTTTCTCTGTTTTATTTAGACTCAAGTCATTTTGAAATGTCTTTGCTTGATGCACCTAAGAGAAATTATTTGGGGACTTGAACTTAGGCAGTTGGCCTCGAGCAGTTTTTGTTTGTGAACAGCTGCCTCTTCATCTTTGCCAACCTGTACTAGTTACGATGCCAGGTGTTGTATCTGTGATCAAGAAGGACTATTATTTCTTTTTTTTTTTTTAATTTTTATTTTTTAAAGATTTATTTATTTATTTGAAAGTCAGAGTTATACAGAGAGAGGAGAAGCAGAGACAGAGCGAGGTCTTCCATCTGATGGTTCACTCTAGTTGGCCGCAATGGCCAGAGCTGCACCGATCTGAAGCCAGGAGTCAGGAGCTTCTTCCGGATCTCCCATGTGGATGCAGGGACCCAAGGACTTGGGCCATCCTTTACTGCTTTTCCAGGCCATAGCAGAGAGCTGGATTGCAAGTGGAGCAGCCAGGTCTCGAACTGGCGCCTATATGGGATGCCGGTGCCTCAGGCCAGGGCATTAACCCGCTCCACCACAGCACCAGCCCCTATTATTTCTTTTTAAAAAGTTAAAATCTTTTTTAAAAAATTGTACATGACCACTGATGTTGATGAAATGCAGTAGGTCTTGTGTTAGTGTTTACCTGTTTCTTTTAGAATTTTCTTTCTTGTTTTTGTTTTTTAAAGATTTATTTATTTATTTGAAAGGCAGAGTTACAGAGAGGCGGAGGTAGAGAGAGATGGGGTCGGGGTCGTTCATCCTCTGGTTCACTCTCCAGGTGGCCTGGCCAGAATTGTGCTATTCCGAAGCCGGAAGCTTCTTCCGGGTCTCCCACGTGGGTGCAGGGGCTCAAGTACTTGGGCCATCTTCCACTGACTTCCCAGGCCATAGTGGCAAGGGCCTAATCAGTGGGGCCCATCTTCTGATGCTTTCCTAGGCATAGTAGGAGGGAGGCAGATAGGAAGTGGAGCAGCAGGGACTTGAAACCAGCACTCTGACATGGGATGCCTGTGTTGCAGGTAGCAGCTTAAGCTGCTGTAGCACAACACTGACCCTGGAATATTCTAATTTTATTTATTTATTTGGGATTGATTTTATTTGAAAGACAGAGTTAGAGAGTGGGTGGGTGGGAGGGGGGTGAGAGAGAGAAAGAGCGAGAGCTATCTTCCACCCTCTTGATTCAATATCCAGATGGCTGTAATGGCTAGGGCTGGGCCAGTCTGAAGCCAGGAGCTTCTTCCAGGTCTCTCAAGTGGGTAGCAGGGGCCCAAGCGTTTGGACCATGCTCTGTTACTTTCCCAGGCTCCTTAGCGAGGAGTTGGATTGGAAGTAGAGCAGCGGGTCTCAAACTGGTGCCTATATGGGATGCTGTTGTTGCAGGAGGCAGTTTTTACCTGTTATGCCACAATGCTGGCCCCAGAATATTCTAATTTTAGATAAAGCAGCAAAACTTGGTTATTGGAAACTTTGTTTTCTTCCTTTCCCTTTGGTAAAATTATTTAAAAATTCTTTTGAGTATTTGAACTTGGGACATTGTCTTTTCTTGTTTAATTTATTGATATAAAGTCTGATTTTTCATTTATAGCTTTGTGGATTATGGCAGCCAAGTGGGAAATGGAAGACCGTTTATCTTCAGAAAGTGCAAGACAGCTATTTCTTCGGGCTCTACGTTTTCATCCAGAGTGCCCGAAACTTTATCAAGAAGTGAGTGTGTGCGCACCAGGTGAAAGAGCGATGTCTTGCTTTGATCCCCTGGAGATGTACTTTCTTGAATTTGAGAGGCAGAGAGAGAGAGTGCTCCCATCCAAATACCTACAATGACCAGTACTGAAGCCAGGCACCAGAATTCAAACCAGGTGAAAACACGTGGATGTCAGGAACCCAGTTACTTAAGTCATTACCACTGCCTCTCGGGGTCTGCATTACTAAGAAGCTGGAGTCAGGAATTGAACCCAGGCTGTCCGATGTGGGATGTGGGCATTTTAACTGCTCGGCTAGACACTCATCCCATATGTTTTTCATTAAGTCTGGAAACACTTCAGGGGCCAGTGTTGTGGCAGAGTAAGTTAAGCTGCCCACTTGGGATATTGGCATTCCATATTGGAGTCCCAGTTTGAGTCCTGAATGCTCTGTTTCCAATCTCTCTCCCTGCTGATGTGCTTGGGAAAGTAGCGGAAGATGACCCAAGTCATTTAGCTCCTGCCATCCACATCGGAGGCCTAGTTGGAGTTCCAACTCCTGATTTTGGCCTGGCCCAGCTCAGCATATGACCTTTTGGGGAGTGAACCAACAGATGGAAGATCTGTCTCTGCCTCTCAAATAACTAACTAACTAAATCTGAAAGACTTCAGATTATGCAGGCTAAGGATAATTGTGGTGGGGGTGGAGGGGTGAGGAGAAACATCTTTTTTTTGTTGAAACTGTGCAACTTCTTGATTCATGAGAAGTTGGAACCCTTACCTGCCTGCTGTGGTTTGGAGGTATGGGGATTGGACCATAACTTCTTTTAGTTGAGTGGTCCATTTCAGCCTCTTTTTCCTTTGTTCTTATTTTTTAAATTGATTTCCCTCCCTCCTTTCTGTCTTCTTCTGGATTTCCTTTTTCTCCACATTGCTCTTTTTTTTTTTTTTTAGGTTTATTATTTTATTTGAAAGGCAGAGGCAAAGAGAGGGAGGGAGGGAGGGAGGGAAGGAGGGAGGGAGAGAGAGAGAGAGAGAGAGAGAGATCTTCCATCCACTGGTTCACTCCCCAGTTGGCTGCAATGGCTGGAGGTGGGCCTGTCTGAAGCCAGGAGCCAGGAGCTTCTTTTGGGTCTCCCACGCGTGTACAGGGGCCCACACACTGGAACCGGCACACGGATGGGATGCAGGCATTGCAGCTGGAGGCTTAGGCCACTACACCATAATGCTGGCTATATTTTATTTCTTAAGATGGATACACTTGAGCCAGCACTGTGGTGTAGTAGGTTAAGCCTCCGCCTGTGGCGCCAGCATCTCATGTGGTTACAAGTTTGAATCCCAGCTGCTCCATTTCCTATCCAGCTACCTGCTAATGGCCTGGGAAAGCAGTGGAAGGAAGATGGCTCAAGTTTTGGCAACTGCACCCACATGGGAGACCCGGAAGAAGCTCCTGGCTTAAGATAGGCCCAGCTCCAACCATTGTGGCTATTTGAGGAGTGAATCAGCGGATGGAAGACCTATCCCTCTGTCACTCCTGTTCTCTGTCTGTAACTCTGCCTCTCAAATAAATAAATAAATTTTTTTAAAAGATGGATATACTTTTAGGGCTTTCTTCCTCTCTTGAGGGACTCATTCCTCCTCCTCTTTTTTTTTTTTTTTTTTTAAGATTTATTTATTTGTTTGAAAGAGTTACAAAGAGAACAAAAAGAGAGAGAGACACACGCACACACACACACACACACACCACAGAGACACCAATAGATCTTCTGTCCACTGCTTCACTTCCCAAATGGCTGCAGTGGCCGGAGGAGCCAGGACCTTCTTCGAGGTCTACACCTGGCCATCTTCCACTGTTTTCCCAGGTGCATCAGCAGGTGGCTAGATAGAAGTGGAGCAGCTGGGACTCGAACCGGTTCCCATATGGATGCCAGTGTCACAGGAGGAGGCTTTACCTGCTATGCCACAACGCTGCCCTTCCCCCATTTTTACTATTTATTTTAACAGTTGTCAGCTTGTAGCTATCCTGCTTGTCATGCTGCTCCCCTGTAGCATGCAGCAGTAGCAGCTAAACCCTAGCTGTCCTGATTGCTCGCTCCTCCCCTGAAGCATGTTCAATAAATCTAATGCTGCTAAAAATTTTTTAAAAATGTATTTGAAAGGTAGTTAAAGAGAGGGAGAGAGAGAGTGCTGGTTCAAGTCCCGGCTACTCAGCTTCCTGCTTATGTGTTAGAGAAGGCAATGGGAGATGACCTAAGTACCTGGGCCTCTGCTGCTGATGGGGGAGATCCAGATGGAGTTCTGGCTCCTAGCTTTGGCCTGGCCCAGCCCCAGCTGTTGTGGTCATTTGGGCCCTGAATAGCTGGGACTTCAACTAGAACTTGAATATGGGATTTTGGCATTGCAAGCAGTGGCTTAACCTGGTGCACCACAATGCTGGTCCTTGTGTCACATACTTTTTTAACAAAATATAATACTCTCTGCCCCCCAGACTTTCCTAGATATGATACTTAAGGATAAAAAGTGGCATCTTAGGGGCTGGCACTATGGCGCAGTGGGTTAAAGCCCTGGCCTGAAGTGCTGGCATCCTATATGGGTGCCGGTTCTAGTCCTGGAGCTTCTCTTCTGATCCAGCTCTCTGCTATGGCCTGGGAAAGCAGTAGAAGATGGCCCAGGTCCTTGGGCCCCTGAACCCACGTGGGAGACCTGGAAGAAGCTCCTGGCTCCTGGCTTCGGTGTGGCCCAGCTCTGGCAGTTGTGGCCATCTGGGGAGTGAACTAGCGGATGATAGATCTCTTTCTGTCTGTTCCTCTGATTGTAACTCGACTTTGAAATAAATAATACATAAATCTTTAAAAAAAAAAGGTTTCAAGGATTTTCATGTCATTGTTTTCCTTCTGCAGTACTTTAGGATGGAGTTAATGCATGCTGAGAAACTGAGGAAAGAAAAGCAAGAACTTGAAAAAGCTGACATGGATGATCTGGTAAGATCCTACTGTGTTGTCAGTTGCTAATATTATGTAGTCTTTTAAGCCTGTACAGGAGTAAGAGAAAAATCTTTGGAATATATTATTTTTCTTTTCACTTTAATGTCACATTTTGAAATTTTAAGTAAGTCCAGAGTTGATTTAGTTTAATGGGCCTAGTAATAAGAGTAACATTTTATATTTGAAAATAGGTATTTGATGGGGGCTGGCATTGTGGCATAAGCTGGTAAAGCTGCTGCTTGCAATGCCGGCATCCCATATAGGCGCTAGTTTGAGGCCCGACTGCTCCACTTCTTAGCCAGCTCTGTGCCAATGTGCTTAGGAAAGCAGTGGAAGATGGCCCACGTGGGAATCCCAGGTAGAGTTCCATGTTCCGGTGTTGCGCCTGGCTGAGCCCCAGTTGTTGCGGCCATTTGGGGAGTGAACCAGCAGATAGAAGGTTTTCTGTGTCTGTCTGTCTCTCTGTAACTATGCCTTTCAAATGCATAAATAAAATACAAAAAAACAACAACAGGTATTTGGACTACCTGAAGTGGTCCTCAAAATTATTATTGAGGAAATAACCAAATACTGTGGAATAGCACTTTTATATATGGGTTCAAGGAGCTTCAGAAAGATGAAATGTGTAGTTCCTAGACTTCTTTCTTTTCCTTTTTATATAATTATTTACATGGCAGAATTTTTCTTCCAAAGATTTATTTATTTATTTCAAAGTCAGAATTATGCAGAGAAGGAGACAGAGAGAGATCTTCCATCCTCTGGTTCACTCCCCAAGTGGCTGCAGTGGCTAAGGCTGAGCCAGGCCTTAACCAGGATCTTGCAGGTCTCCCATGTGGGTACAAGAAGCCCAAGCACTTGGGCTATTATCTTCTGCTTATCCTAAGCCATTAGCAGGGAGCTGGATTGAAATTGGAGCAGCCAGAACATGAACCGGCCCCTTATAAGGGTGTACTGGTGTCTCAGGAGGGAGCTTTACTTACAACACCACAATACTGGTCCCCAGAATAATTTTTAAAAAAGATTTATTTATTTGTGTAAAGGGCAGAGTTAGAGAGAGAGAGAATGAAAGATTTCTGTTTGCTCATTCACTCTCTAAATGGCTGCAATGATTGTGACTGGGTCAGGCCAAACCCAGGAGTCCAGAACTACATATAGTTCTTCGGTGTGTGTGGCAGAGGCCCAAGGGGTTGAGCCATCTTCTGCTGCTTTCCCAATAACATTAGTAGGGAGCTGGATTGGAAGTGGAGCAGCTAGGACTTGAACTGGCATTCATATAGGATGCCAGCATTGTAAGTAGAAGCTTAACTTGTACCACAATGCTTGCTCCATGGCAGAATAATTTGAAAGAAAGGTTTAGAACATTAGGCTGAAAAAGGAACTTTGTTATCTTCTTGTTAATTTGGTTTCCAACTCAGACCTTTTTTATCCAAGTAAAATCTTAACACAAAAGGTTAAACAAGGCATGTAGCACTTGACCTATTCTGGTCTAAACGGAGTGAGACTTTAAGGCATGCGATCTTGCCAACACTCCAGCATCCTGAGTGAAAAGAGCAGGAAGATGAGTGATCTTGTTTAAGCTGCATGGTTTACAAGTAAGAGGGCTGGGCCAGACATAGAGCTTATGTGGTACAGGTAATCAAGGAATGTTAATTTTCATCATGGTGCTTTCTCTACTCAGTAGTGCTATGGTTACGTTTTATATCACTCTCTTTAGAGGAATCTTGATTATCCTCAAGAAATCCTTAAGGGCGAGTTGGCACGGATCATCTACAAAAATTCTGTAAGCATAATTAAAGGTAGGTGTCTATTGGACATTTATTTGTGGTAAGAAAGTTTAATATTCTCTTTACAATGAAAAAAACCTTTGCTAATTTTGAAACTTTCCAGTAGGATGATTATAAAACTGATCGTACACATAATGTTCTGTTTCTTTCAGAAAAGGTTTTTTTCTCTTAGATTTTTTTTTTTAAGATTTATTTATTTATGTGAAAGGCAAAGCTACAGAGAGGCAGAGGCAGAGAGAGAGAGAGTTCTTCCATCCACTAATTCACTCCCCAAATGACTGTAATATCTGGAGCTGGGCTAATCTGAAGCCAGGAACCAAGACCTTCTTCTGGGTCTCCCACGTGGGTGCAGAGGCCTAAAGGCTTGGACCATCTTCTGCTGCTTCCCCAGGCTCACTAACAAGGAGCTGGATTGGAATTGGAGCAGTCGGCATCTGAACTGGCGCCCAAATGGGATGGTGGCACTGCAGGTGGCAACTTTACCCACTATGCCACAATGCCAGCCCCTTGTCCCAGATTTTTATTGGACATTTCAGTAAGTTTTCACTGAGTACTTTACTCATATTGGGAGTCAGAAAAAAAGATAATTTATTCCATTTCCTTGTGCCTTTCATAAGTCTAGAATGAAAATTAGAAGTGCTTACAAATACTCAAATATGGCTTTGCTTGTTGAGTAGGACTGTGAGGAACTTTTCTTTCGTATTTTGTTCTATTTCTGCATTTTTCAAAAACAAGAAAAAGAAGTTTGTATTTTTAGAGCAGTTTTTTTTACTGATAATGAACCTTTCCTCACCTATTTTTTAAATTCTAGGTGCAGAATTTCATGTGTCATTACTTTCAATTGCACAGCTATTTGACTTTGCCAAAGACCTACAAAAAGAAATTTATGATGAGTAAGTAAAATAGTGGAAAGGTGACTGTTTCTCTTGCTGATCTGTGATAAGGTACTTTTTTTTTTTTTATTTTTAGATTTATTTGAAAGGCAGAGTTAGAGAGGGAGACAGAGAGAGAAAGAGTCAGAGGGAGATCTTCCATCTGCTGATTCATTCCCCAAATAACTGCAATGTCTAGATTTGGGCTGGTCGAAAACCAGGAACCCGGAGCCAGGCACTTCTCTAGGTCTTCCACGTAGGTGCAGGGGCCCAAGCACTTGGGCCATTCTTTGCTCCTGTCCTAGGCACATTAGTAGCAGAGAGCTGGATCAGAAGTGGAGCAGACGGGACTTGAACCGGTGCCCACATGGCCTGCTGGTATTACAGGCAGCAGCGTTAGCCACTGTGCCACAGTGCTGGCCCAATGTGATAACGTTTTAAAGAAGTATATTTAGAGGGGTGGAATGAAGATATCACACAAAGTCCTTGATAGGAAAGCTAACTTTAAGATCATGTGTTTATGGTATATTTAATGTTTCTGGCGATGTTCTTTGGCTTATTTCCTTTGTATTTATTCAATAATAAATACATCCTAATGCTTAAATAAATATTAATATGGTACTTTGCTTGTGTGCCTTTCTCCAATAAAATGAGAGTTGTATTCATAGGTGTTAATACTTGAATACTGTAGATAATTCTAATCTTTGCTGTCTGATTATATTGTTTAAGAATTACTTGCAATGTACCTTGTGGGAACTTCATTCTTAGGTAGTTCCGCTCACAAAAGAGATTAAATAGACTTGTATCATTTTGGATATCTTCAAGGTTTTGGTAGGGATTAGGTTGTGCTTTTTCCTCTGTCTCTATTACAGCAAATTTAGTCTGAGCATCATAAGCTTCTCTGGAGTTCATTGAGGCTTGTGTTGTCATGGTGAGCTGCTGACTTGATTTTGAGAGCTGACTTCAAAGTTCACATTTGTGAGTGATGCCTGACATGTTCTGGAATTCTTTAAGTGAATGGTGACTTTGTTCCATTGACTAGATTCAGTTTATTTTTTACAATTTTTTAAAGCTATTTATTAGAGAGAGACAGAGGGAGCTGCCCTCCGCTGGTTTGTCCCCCAAATGCCTGCAGTGGCAGAGACTGGGGCAGGCTGAAGCCAGGAGCCTGGAACCGAATTCCAGTTCTCCCATGTGGGCAGCAGGAACCCAACTGAACCGTTAACCTGATGCCTCCAGGGTGTGCATCAGTAGAAAGCTGGAATTGGGAGTGAAGCCCAGACATGAACCCAGGCACTGGCATAGGGATGTGGGCTTCTCAATCAGTGTCTAACTGCTCTGCCATACATTCCCCCTCCCCCCACCCCAACCAAATTTATGGAGTGAGTAAGGAGATTCTGGAGAGCATATTGAGAAATGCAGTTATTATGAGGGTGTCCTATATGGAGCTCTTTCTGTGGTTGATATTATTGTGTGTTAAGTCTCTTGTCATAGATGCAAATAAACTATTTTTCAGCCTTCAGACTCTACACACAGATGACCCTCTCACTTGGGATTATGTGGCACGGCGAGAATTAGAGATCGCGTCAAAACCAGGAGAAGAGCAACCTACAACGAAGTCAGCCAAAGCGCTGGAGGTGTGCCGGCGGGAAGACAGGTGCAGTGCAGTGTATGAGGAGGCCGTGAAGACTTTGCCTACGGGTGAGCTGCAAACCATGGTGTGGTGTTAGGGTAATGGCCTCCATGAATGTGAAACTGAAGCTCCCCTTCCTATTACCCAAATCAGCATCAGAAATGTTTGTGTAGTACAGTTCTCAGCATGCCTGCCTTTTCCAGCTTGTTCTTCCCACGATGGTGAAAATTGGAGCATTTATGACCTTCGTCAATAATAATGGTATTTATTTTTGGGAAATGATAATGCCGAAAGCTATTATTATTTTTAAAAGATTTATTTATTTATTTATTTTTTGACAGGCAGAGTTAGACAGTGAGAGAGACAGAGAGAAAGGTCTTCCTTCCATTGGTTCACCCCCCAAATGGCTGCTGTGGCTGGTGCGCTGTGCTGATCTGAAGCTAGGAGCCAGGTGCTTCCTTCTGGTCTCCCATGTGGGTGCAGGGCCCAAGCACTTGGGCCATCCTCTACTGCACTCCCGGGCCACAGCAGAGAGCTGGCCTGGAAGAGGGGCAACCAGGACAGAATCCAGTGCCCCAACTGGTACTAGAACCCAGGGTACTGGCGCCGCAGGCAGAGGATTAGCCTAGTGAGCTGTGTTGCCGGCAAAAGATTTTATTTTAAAAAGCGGCAAAGATAAAGGGAGAACAGAGAGAGCTTCTATCCATTGATTTATTCCCCAGAAGGCCACAACAGCCGGGGCTGGGCCAGGCCAGATCTGGAGCCAGGAGCTCCCATCTGGTTCTGCCACATTAGGCAACAGGGACCAAAGTACGTGGGCTATAATCTGCAGCCTTTCCAGGTACATTTGCAGCAAGCTGGGTCAGAAGTAGAGCACCCTTAGCTCTGGCATGGGATGCAGGTGCTGCAGGTGGCAGTTTAACCTGCTGCAGCACAACACTGACCTTTATTATTTCTTAACTATTTTTTTTTGACAGGTTGCAGGGGCCAAAGCCACAGGGCCACTATGCCATGATAGCAACCCCATGCTTTGCTTATTTTATTTTATTTTACTTTATTTTGTTTTCTTTTTGACAGGCAGAGTTAGACAGTGAGAGAGAGAGAACAGACAGAAAGGTTTTCCTTTCCATTGGTTCACTCCCTATATGGCCGCTACCTCCGGCGCACTGCGCCGATCCGAAGCCAGGAGCCAGGTGCTTCTTCCTGGACTCCCGTGCAGGTGCAGGGCCCCCGCACTCCGGGGCCCCAAAAGCACTCCGGGCCACAACAGAGAGCTGGACTGGAAGAGGGGCAACCGGGAGAGAACTGGCGCCCCAACCGGGACTAGAACCTGGGGTGCGGGCGCTGCAGGCGGAGGATTAGCCTAGTGAGCCGCGGCGCCGGCCTGCTTATTTTATTTTTATTTAAAGATTTCTTTCTTTCTATTTATTTATTTATTTATTTAGACAGGCGGAGTGGACAGTGAGAGAGAGAGAGAGAAAGGTCTTCCTTTTGCCTTTGGTTCACCCTCCAATGGCCGCCGCAGCCGGCGCACTGCGGCTGGCGCATCGGGCTGATCCGAAGCCAGGAGCCAGGTGCTTCTCCTGGTCTCCCATGCGGGTGCAGGGCCCAAGCACTTGGGCCATCCTCCACTGCCCTCCCGTGCCATAGCAGAGAGCTGGCCTGGAAGAGGGGCAACCGGCACAGAATCTGGCGCCCCAACTGGGACTAGAACCTGGTGTGCCGGCGCCGCAAGGGGGAGGATTAGCCTATTGAGCTGTGGCGCTGGCCAGATTTCTATTTATTTTAAAGTCAGAGATACACAGAGCAGAGGCAGAGAGAGAGAAAGAGGTCTTCTATCTGATGGTTCACTCTCCAGTTGGCTACAAAAGCTGGAGCTGTGTCGATCTGAAGCCAGGAGCTTCTTCCAGGTCTCCAACACGATGCAGGGGCCCAAGTCCTTGGGCCATCTTCCACTGCTTTCCCAGACCATAGCAGAGAGCTGGATTGGAATGGAGCAGCCAGGACTATGGGATGCCAGTGCTTCAGGCCAGAGCGTTAACCCGCTGCGCCACAGCGCCGGCCCCTCTTAATTATTCTTTGATAGGAATTTCATTTTTTAAAATTACTAATACTGGTAAATAAAGACAACAGGATAGAGAGCCTGAGTAAGGCTTTTGAATTTTTATTTATGCCATCTTTCAATATTTTTTCTCTAATATTTGAAATGTTTTCCTGTAATCAGAGTACTATTCTTGCTGTCTGGCTTCTTCCTTTTTTTTTTTTTTGACAGAGTGGATAGTGAGAGAGAGACAGAAAGATCTTCCTTTTGCCGTTGGTTCACCCTCCAATGGCCGCCATGGCTGGCGTGCTGAGGCCAGCGCACCGCGCTGATCCGAAGCCAGGAACCAGGTGCTTCTCCTGGTCTCCCATGGGGTGCAGGGCCCAAGCACTTGGGCCATCCTCCACTGCACTTCCTGGCCACAGCAGAGAGCTGGCCTGGAAGAGAGGCAACCGGGACAGAATCCGGCACCCTGACCGTGACTAGAACCCGGTGTGCCGGCGCTGCCAGGTGGAGGATTAGCCTATTGAGCCACGGCGCCGGCCTTTTTTTTTTTTTTTTTTTTTTTTTTTAAAGGTTTATTTTATTTATTTGAAAGGCAGAGGTAGAGCGAGCAACACAGGGATATCTTCCATCCACTGGTTCACTCCTCAAAGGGCCACAAAAGCTGGGGCTGCATGAGAGTATTTCAGGCATGGAAAGCCAAGACACTCTGGCAAAAAGATCTCTGTGAGTGAGATCCCAGTGGAAAGAACAGGTCTTCAAAGAGGGAGGTGCCTTTCTCTGAAGGGAGGAGAGAACCTCCACTTTGACTATGACCGTGTCTAAACAAGATAAGAGTCGGAGAACTCAAGGGGCTTCCATAGCCTTGGAAACTCATAACTGGTGCATGGGGAGATAACTGATGCCATAAACAGGAGTGTCAATTTGTAAAGTCAACAACAGGAGTCACTGTGCACTTACTCCTCATGTAGGATCTCTGTCCTTAACGTGATGTACACTGAGGCTTAATGCTATAACGAGTACTCAAACAGTATATTTCACTTTGTGTCTCTATGGGGGTGCAAACGATTGAAATCTTTACTTAATGTACACTAAACTGATCTTCTGTAAAAAAAAAAAAAAAAAAGAAATTATCAATTCCCAACTTGACTCTCACTGGGATTAAACATGACAATAGGTCTGATCTGATTTCATCATCATTTAAAAAAAATCATCTATTATTTTTCACTTTATGTTTCTGTGTGGGAGCAAACTGTTGAAATACTTACTTAAGGTATACTAAGCTGATCTTCTGTATATTAAGATAATCGAAAATGAATCTTGATGTGAATGAAAGGGGAGAGGGAGTGGGAAAGGGGAGGGTTGTGGGTGGGAGGGACGGTATGGGGGGGGAAGCCATTGTAACACATGAGTTGTACTTTGGAAATTTATATTCATTAAATAAAAGATTAAAAAAAAAAAAAAA